ATGAGACGGAGTCTTGCTCTGTTGCCCAGGCTAGAGTGCAGTGGTGAGATCTCGGCTCACTGCAACCTCTGCCTCCCGGGTTCAAGCAATTCTCCTGCCTCAGCCTCCCAAGTAGCTGGAATTACAGGCGCCCACCACCACGCCCAGCTAATTTTTGTATTTTTTGTAGAGGCAGGGTTTCACTATGTTGGCCAGGCTGGTCTCAAACTCCTGACCTCAAGATCCGCCTGCCTCAGCCTCCCAAAATGCTGGGATTTAAGCGTAAGCCATGGTGCCTGGCCTGCCTACCCTCTTATAAGGAGATTATTCAACCTTAGTTGCTGTGGTAACTAGAAGGGTAATAACTACTCAAAACAAGGTTGATTTAGAGCAGGCGGGCGTAGGCATGATAAGGAAGCCTCACTTGGCAAGGAGAAATACTCCCTGAAGATGGCAATCTTCTCCTCCCAGGAGAGCCCATCCTTTATTCTTTTCCATGATGTTGAATTCCTGCCAGCACCATGTTCTGAGGAGGAGAGCCTTTATAGCCTGCATGGCAAAGCTAAATCAAACAAAAACAGTGTGGGTGATTTGAATAGGTCCCTCCAACTTACAGCACACAATCACCCCATTCTCACTGAGGAGGGCCATGCATTGACAACTCCTGGACTGTATTTCTCTCCTTTCCAGATTGCCCAAAAGACTCTTCTCTTTTTTCTTTTAGTTTCTTCTGTTTTTTTTTCGTTTGTTTGTTTTTTGTTTTTTGACAGAGGCTTACTCTGTGGCCCAGGCTAGAGTGCAGTAGTGAGATCTTGGCCTGCTGCAACCTCTGCCTCCCAGGTTCAAGCAATTCTCCTGCCTCAGCCCCCCGAGTACCTGGGATTACAGGCATGCACCAACACACCTGGCTAATTTTTGTATTTTTAATAGAGACAGGTTTTCACCATGTTGGCCAGGCTGGTCTCAAACTCCTGACCACAGGTGGTCTCCCCGCCTCAGCCTCCCAAAGTGCTGGGATTACAGGCATGAGCCTCATGCCCAACCAACACCACAAGAAGTTTCTACTGAGACTCTAATGGGACTTACAAATATCTCTCCATGCAATAAAACAGAAAACAGAAATCACTGCATGGTGGATCAGTACAGTTTGGGAGGGAGGTTTAGGCTGCTTTGTTTCCATCTCTACTTGATTTATTAGGAAAGGGCTGACACAATAGCACATTTGGCCAACCCAGATAACTCAGCCAAATTTACACTGTTACTAATAAAACCAAAGATAACCAATGAAAGCTTAGAATGATTCCTGGGCATTTCATCTTGATGTTTCATGAGGGTTGTAGATTGTAAGCTCCCCTCCAGTTGGGACCACATCTTGGCGATCCCTGGGTTCACCACAGTGCCCAGTGCTTAGTACGTGTTACTAAATGTCAATGGAATAATGATGGGCAGTACCACAAAGGGGTGACCTCTGAAGACACTTCCTCTTCTGCGTACAGGCCACTTGGAATGGCTACATCTGACATGGTGAGGCCAATGCTATGATGAATTTGGATGAGCAGTGTCATGAGAAGCTGAGGAAAGAGTCGGAATGAAGCTGCTCGAAGCTTGTTTCCCAAAAACACCTCATAAAGGGCATCTGTTGCCTGCGGTGGAAAAGACACAGAGCAGAACTAAGCACCTGCCATTTTGAAATTCAGAAGTCATGAAGGAAACTATTAACATATTTGACTACATACAAATATAAAGCCAGGGCAATATTTATCATAAAGTTAGATGACAACAGGCCAGGTGCAGTGGCTCATGCCTGTAATCCCAGCACTTTGGAAGGATGAGCTGGTAGATCACCTTAGGTCAGGAGTTCGAGACCAGCTTGGTCAACATAGTAAACCCCCGTCTTACTAAAATTACAAAAAAATTAGCCAAGTGTGGTGGCTCATGCTTGTAATCCCAGCTACTCTGGAGGCAGAGGCAGGAGAATCATGTGAACCTAAGAGGGAGAGGTTGCGGTGAGTCAAGATTGTGCCATTGCACTCTAGCTTGGGTGACAGAGCAAGACTCCATCTCAAAAAAAAAAAAAAAAAAGGAAAGAGTTAGATAACAACCTGGAGAAGTATTTGTATCAATGTATTATTCTTAATATATTCTTACATAGCAGTAAGAAAAATGTGAAGGCTTATTACCCAAAGGGTAGGCCGCACACCAGCAGCACTGGCATCACCTGGGAGATGGTTAAACAGGGAGAATCTCAAGCCCCATCCCAGACCTTCCACATTAGAACCTGCATTTTAATAATACCCCCAAGTGATTGTGGTTTGTGTGCATATTAAATCTGAGAAGGACTGGCATACAGGACATGAACAGACAAGTCACAAAAGAAGAAATATAAACGGCCAATTAAAAACATATACAAGGCTGGGTGTGGTGGCTCATGTGTTTAATCCCAGCATTTTGGGAGGCTGAGGAGGGAGGATTGTTTGAGCCCAGGAGTTTGACACCAGACTGGGTAACATGGGGAATCCCTGTCTCTACTAGAACGTACAAAAATTAGCCGGGCATGGTGGCACTCTCCTGTATTCCCAGCGCCTCAGGAGGCTGAGGTGGGAGGATTGCTTGAGCCCAGGAGGAAGAGGTTGCAGTGAACTGAGATCATGCCACTGTAGTCCAGCCTGGGCAACGGAGTGAGATCCTGTCTCAGAAAGAAAAATAACAATAATTTAGACCAGAGAAAACTGGTAGGGGAGAAAATAATGTAAAAGTAAATGTTGATAGTAGGGCAGGCTGTGTGTCTGTGGAGGCAGAAGGTTTATGGGAACTCTGTACTTTCTGTTTAATTTTGCCGTGAATTTAAAACTGCTCTAAGAAATAAAGTATTTAAAATGAAAAAATGAAAAAAAAAACCATCTTGGCTAACGTGGTGAAACCCCTACTCTACTAAAAATACAAAAATTAACTGGCTGTGGTGGTGAGCGCCTGTAGTCCCAGCTACTCGGGAGGCTGAGGCAGGAGAATTGCTTGAAC